GTGAACCTTTTTTACGGGTGGCGGGTGGGTTGGGCGTGGGCGGAAAAATTCAAAAAAATGCTTGGGTGGGTTGGATCAGCTTCAAACCTTTTTTTCTTTTTAAGGGTTGCATATACTAAGAAAATGTTGGGTGGGTTGGGTGAAGTGGCATTTCCAAAAAAAAAGTTCATCTCTGGTCTGCACCCGTGCCCGGAAAATTATTGAAGTTGTTGCATTTAATTGCATTATGATTTCTTGGGCGGGCTGGTCTAATGGCAGGTGTTTCAGAAGTTCACTTCTCGGTTTTTTGCCACATATATAGCCACTACTATAGTGGGGCTGTGGTGGCAATTTTGAAAAGAAAATTTCCTTTTGGGAGGAGGGGGTTGGGGGCAGAAGGGTAGGGTAGAGCCGGAATTATGGCCTGGTCCATGAAATGTCTATTGCACAGTAGAGTGAAGGGAAATTGGCCTCTGTACAATGATGGTAAAGGTGTACTATACTCGTACCACATATACTATTTTCATGAAAATAGAAACATCAGTGGTGAGACGTTGCACAATATTCCACAATGTCAGGGGATAGACCAGCATATCTCTGAGATGGTGGGAGTGGATCACTGGATTGACCAGCATATCTCTGAGATGGTGGGAGTGGATCACTGTGGACCTGGCAAGGCAGAAAGAGAGCCCTTGGGAAACAATCCCTGTGGGACATGTTCCTCACTTTCGACTCTTGTGTCAAAAGGCAGCAAAACCTGCAGTGGCTAACATTGGACCTTCCTGTGCTGGGCAACAAAGCCGATGGCTGGACAAATAAAGAGAAAGGAAAATAATAGGCCAATAGGAATATATTGTAACCGAGTATCCGGCGGAAGGGAAGAGCCTGGTAGAGCACGCCGCCGCTCTCGCGACGGATAGGACTTTCTCTTATTCCCTCAAAGAAAGCAATTATATATACAAAATCATACAATTACAATCAATTCAATAAATACACTCGCGAACCGAGTATGCTCTAACATCTCCGGTAGTGTGAAGCTGTGAGGGTGTGCCTGTGACGCACGTGCGGAGATGGTGAGAGAGAGAGAGAGAGAGAGAGAGAGAGAGAGAGAGAGAGAGAGAGAGAGAGGAGGTGGACACACACACGGAAGCAGCACCTGAGTAAAGGGCCAGTCCGGCTCCATGAAAGAACGAATGAACAACTGAATGAACCAACCTCCCGCCCTGGGCCTAGGCTGAAGTGATATACCGGCCTAGGTCCAGGTACGGAACAACCCGGTACCGGACCATCGTCAGGCCGGCGGCCTGAAACTGGTCCGGTCTCACTGCCGGGCCGTAGGACCTGTGAATGGATTAAGCGATACATCAAACACGCTATCCGTTGAAATAGCGGATCAAGCGATACATCAAACACACTATCCGTTGAAATAGCGGAAACCCAAAAGGGACGGCAAAAGAAACAATCCTAGATGTGGATCAGGCTCCATTCAGGAAAAGGGATGCAATGCAGCCTAAGCCTCAAGCCTAATCTATACAACAATGTCTGGTCTGTGTCGACCCAAAAAGTATAAAAATGTCTGACCTGTGGCGGCCAAGAAAGAGCAAAATTTGACCTGTGTCGGCCAAGAAAGAGAAAAATGTCCGACCTGTGTAGGCCAAGGAAGAGGAAAAATGTCTCATGAGCCAAATAGGCTGAATATAAATCAACCCCAAGGCCCTAAAGTGTAGTGGTACCCCTACGGCCCGGCAGTGAGGCCGGACCAGTTTCAGGCCGACGGCCTGATTCTGGTCCGGTACCAGGTTGTTCCGTACCTGGACCTAGGCCGGTATATCACTTCGGCCTAGGCCCAGGGCGGGAGGTTGGTTCATTCAGTTGTTCATTCGTTCTTTCATTGAGCCGGACTGGACCTTCACTGTGCTGCTGCTTCGTATGTGTACATCTCCTCTCTCTCTCTCTCTCTCTCTCTCTCTCTCTCTCTCTCTCTCTCTCTCTCTCTCACCATCTCCCCACGTGCCCTCTGCACGTGCATCACATTGGTATCGGAGCAGGTTCTCGAACCTCTGTTCCCTCCCTCCCTCCCTCTCTCGCACTATCCTGCCACCACGGATAGCCCTCTCCACGGTTATTTTGAAGCTGCACCTGGCCTGCACCTGGTCCGTCAAGGAGATTTGTTTCCCAAGTTGGCGACTTTCTCCTGCTCCAAGAAGGCGATGCTCCTGCCGACGTCGACGAGGTGCTGCTCGCACCAACACCGCTTGTGGCCCCTACCCATTGATTGGCCAAGAGAAGTATCTGAGCTCCGGTGCAGCTGGCGGTGCAGTGAGAAGTCATTGAACCTTATCAATTAGAGGAAGGAGAAGTCGTAACAAGGTGTCCGCAGGCCAACTTGTGGAAGGAGCATTGACACGTGGACGGTTGCCCTTCAACCCCGCCACGTCAGCCCCCCCTTCCCTCTTACCTGCACCCCTCGACTCTCCCCTCCCC